TACTCTTGTTAGACACGAATACCGACTGATGCAAAATTATGTACACGTTGAAACTACTTACCGACCAGACACGGCAGGAAGATTATCTGGACGATTAACAACGATGTCGAGATCGAGAAGGGGAAAGCAAACCGATCATCCTCTGTCACCGAGGACTCGTGTAAATACTTGTACATACAATCACGTATATCCAGGCTGTACAAAGAGAGAGATGTAGAGTACTGATGTTAAAAGTACAACGCTACTCAAGTCACATGCTCGGTGAATGTGAATTTCCTTCGAAGTTGGCCAGTAGTCGGCGTTGCAGATCACGTAATATGATTGGTGCATCCATGAAGCAAATAATTATAGACACCTCGTAACAAATTTTAAATTTGACGAAAAAGAAGGTACCTACTTAACATGACTGAAGATAGAATACTACGACCAATGGGAAGAAATCGATGGCTGATTCGTATGTCGATAATATACTAGATTGGAAACGTCTCGCAGAAAACCTGTCGCCATCTATGCAGCATTTTTAACGGAACGAAGACTTCATTGTAAACAACCATATTGCAATTTTCGACTCTGACACTTTATTGGTATGCTAATTAACTTATTATTTGGTTAAATAACGTAAAACATCGAAAATATATCATTTCTGCAATGAATGATTATTGGCTTTATAAATGTAATTTATAATTGATTTTAATGTCTATCGATAATCTATGCTAGTCATAATTCAACTAGTCATAAATTTATATTAATTTAGAATTTTAGGGTTTTACGGTTCTAGTTTGTAATGAAATATTATTGTAAGTGATTCCAAAAATTTTCGAAGATTTCCAAACACCGAGCAGAAATTTTGTCATAATTTATTTATTTAAGGGTGTATAATGATTTTTTGTGTTTAAGTGTCGCTCTCTTACTTCTTTCTTTTATTTTATTTATATTGTGTTTGAGTGAAAAAAGAAAAACAAAGTACTATTTAGAAATTAGTATAAAACGAAGACAATACAACGATCTAGTCAACACGTGATAAGAATTTGATATTCGATATGAGAATCAAAACATAGAATCTAGTCTAAAAGAGAAACAAAGTATAGACGAATCTAGTCAAAATTGAGTCATTAAAAAATTTATCTAGTCATAAAGTATATTCTGATCAGTATTATTTAGTTTTAATTGATGCAACGGATCTCAATCTCGAGGTAAATTTTTCTAATTTTCTCGTAGACTACTAGAAATTAAGATGAAACATTAAATTACAAAAAGTATATATTTTATTTTATTTCGTAGCATCAACGAGGCTGTGTGTATACTTTCTCGTGTAGCCTTTTTTTACGTTTCTAGTCAGCCATACTTCTAGTCATTGCGTTCTTTTCATTTAATGAGTAAGTATTGTAAGTATAAATCCATATTCCCAAAAAGAATATGCAGGCCACAAGTAAATGCAATTTTGAGTTTTTTGGTTTGAACTATCATCTAATCGCGTGACATTAGTTTGCATATTTAGATACCTTTGTCAAATATCCGTGGATGTGATGCCATACAAAAAATGAGTCGTGAAAATATATCGTATTCGCCTTCTAAAATTAAAAAAAAAATTGTCATTAGGAATAGTTAAGAAATTGCATTATATATGTATTATCTAGTCGTGTATACGTTAGTATAATTTAATATTAGTAATTAATTTAATACTCCACATACTTCGGGGGAATGTGCCAGTGATTTATTTTAATACCGATCAGAGTTAATGTAAAGAATCCTTAACCAAAAATCGTAAAATCTCAGTAGCTACACGAGATAAACGAATTTTTACAGTAACTTCTTTCAAAATCGATTCGAGAAAAAAGGAAATTATATAAACAACAGTCGGTAAAAACGAACAGATATTACATACAGATGATATATTATAATTTCAATCTTTTTCAAACTTGTATAATTTGATAAAATTTAAATATTAAATCCATAAAAATGTCCTTATCGGCAGCTAATTGCTTTTTCAGGATAAAATTACTATATGATTTACAGTAATTTAAAAATGAAAAGAGTATTAAACATAAATAAAATAAATTAATACAAAAAAATATACTTTTAGGCAAAAATGTAAGTTTATAAAGTATTATGAGGCTGTGTTTAATAATTAAGAATATCTCTATACTAACTAATATAATTTTCATTTTCTTTTAAGTTAATAGGTGTCTTCTTCAGTATGTTTCGATAATATCTAGTTCTAATATACCGACCAAAGACAATACGTAACATCTTTCTTTAAAGTAATCTTATTTATTTAAAAATAACATAACGATTAATTATTCATTGTATGCACATTGCGATTATCAAATTCTAATAAATTCTAGTCAAGTTCTAGTATATAATATAATTATTAGGAGTGTCATCTAGTCAGTGAATCCTCGGACATTAACTCGAACAGTTCAATCCAGGTGCAAAAAAAAAAAGGAATAAAAAAAATTTTGTCAATTAACTAATAAAAGAAAAAAAAAATGATTATGTTATACGAATCACATACTTTAGTGTCTTAAATTTTAATTTGCAGTTTATTTATTATTGTGCAATTTATTTTGATGTTAGTTCAACTTGGCAAACTTAGTAGAGTATTTGATCTCAGTCCGTGGATAATAAATCTAGTCTACAATATTCTAAAATAAATGGAAAAATTAGAATTACTAAATCCGAAATGTAATCTGAAATATATTTAATTTAGTTTGAAAAATAGCTTGTGTATCAACCTAAAGCAGGATACGATACATTGTATATGATTTAAGTATACTAAATTGCGTTCTAATATAAATGCTATTTTATAAGTTAATTTACGAATTACTTAATAACCTAAACTTATATTGTAAGAATTTAAAACATAAGATCATTACACATGTACTCGTACTTAATCATACTTTTTGCTATAGTTTGCTGTGTCGTGCAGAGTGTGAGTGTGTGTTTGCGTTTATATTTATTTTGAGTACTTATTTATCGAATATTTATTACAGTAATATAAATCGCGATTTATAAATTTTTTCCATATTTATTCATTAGATTTGTGTGTTTTTCTCATATAATTTTTATATCAGATATTTATCAATTATTTAAATCGTGTTCAAAAGTTTGGTACATAAATCATGATTCTAATTCAAATTAAATATATTAAACCATATTAATAACAATTTACTGTAACTGCCGTAAATAACATTGCTACAAAAAATGAATTTTGCCATGAAGTATCCAAATACATCAAATAAAATTTTAAATATCAGAAACATATTGTATTAATTCATTTTATTATCCTTTCCGTGTATCCTTTCCTAACCCAAATCGTACTACAAAGTTATAAGATAATTCTATCATCTTAAAAAATTTCACAAATGAAGTAAGATATCGACCTTGACAAAATCAGAGATTGTCTTGAATTCAGTAATTATAGTTAATTTGATTTCCGTAACCGATAAAGCAGATACAGATATATCCCACTGTGTTAAATTACAATCAAGGTTCGCTATGAGAATAGCTCTATTATGTTACGCTAACTTCGTCAGTGTAAAAAAGAATGTTAATATCGTTAGTCGTTATATGTTATACGTCATTCTTGGACTAAAAGTAAATTATAATAATTTTAATATACGTATATTACCGAAAGTAAGTTGTGTTTCATAAACAGCATATATACGAACAAGTTTGTTTTTCAATAATTCAAATATTGTGCATGAATGAAAGGTTAACTTGTGAGATAATACAAGAATAAGAAATGTATTATATATTCTACTTGTTCTACCTGACACTATCTTCGATGCTTCTAAAGTCAAACACTTATATAATGGATAAGTTACGTTATCTTAATTTTTATGATATTTGTAACATTTAGAATCTTCGTCCATATCAGTGCTTCGTAGTATACGTTATCACTTCATTCTATTCGTCTTCTCGTACTCTGTTCAATTTCTTTATTTTGCAATCTTGTATATATAATTCGATTTGTAAATGCAAAATATCTGACCATTACGAAAATTTGTGTTTTATGCCTATAATTATGTCATACAAAGTAGGAATAATACACCATATCAATAAAATTCACATTTCTACTTCTGTTATCAAATTAATGCAATCAAAATTTAATATCTATAAACCTATAGTAAGGAATAATTATAATTAAGTTTCTTTTATTTTAATGTAAAAGAATGGAATAATAAAAAAAACTTCAATTCTTCTAAGTTTAATATCATTCTTAAAGTTTTAAAATTCATAATTTTTGTACTGTGTACTTTGTTATATCATTAATAATTAATTATACATTAGATACTTATTTATAAAGGTAGGTCTTTATTTCGAAAGAAAATATAATAATTCATATTACATGTCACAGATTTAACATTTAATCCCATATAAAATAACATAAAATCAACAGTAACTCCATCTACAAGCCATATTATAAAACATAACTTCAGCAAAACAAAATCTAACGAAGATAACTTCAAATTGATTTTTAAAATATTTTTATTGAAAAGTTTATGAATGTTTATATAGGACATCATATTACTGTTTATTTTTAATATTTATAATAATAAACATACATCACATTCTGTATATTTGTATTTCGTGTATACACTTGTAATGCAATCCTTTACTAAATGAGTAATATGAAAATACTTCTTATATTTATATTCTACAATCATTTTAATATTAAAAATATTATAATGTCATGATAACTATTAATGTGTTCAAAATTTATATAATTTAATGTCGTAAGTAAGAAATTAAATATATTATTTAATTTATAATAAATTTATCTTTAAGAAGGTGAATTATTTTTCTTTCTAAATAGATAAAACAATTATAAATATGTCATCAAATTAGAGATAAAAATGAAGTCAAGTAATACAGAAATATAACTTTTCAAAGGTTTTTACTAAATTATTGAAAACTTATGTAAATTAAATTAATGTGTACTTCTTATGGTGCCGATAAAGTGGAATTAAAAAAGCAAAAATTACAGAGAATATTAATTAATATATAGGTTTTAGATTTTCTTTTAATATAGAATTGTAATTATTTATTGAATTAAAAGTATCCTCTTTTACCGCACTATAATTACCACGTTCTTTTTCTTTAGCAATAAAATCTTCAATTGTTTTATGTTCTTCTAACAACTTTTCCAAAGTATTTTCTAACACATTAATCTGAACATATACATCATTACTCTCTAACCGTTGTTTGATTTCATCACATTCAAATTGAATTGTTTTAATTTCTTCTTCGTATTCTAATTGTTGATGTTTTACTTGTTCATATTCTGTTATTAGTTGCCCTTCTTTTAATGTCAATTTAGCTTTTAAATTATTTAAATCATTTGAAACTATTGATTTATTTTCCTTATTATTCATTTTTTCATTAAGTTCGTCAAATTCTGTTTTAAGTTTATGTTCTAGTAACTCCATTTCACTAAAAACCTGCTGTAACTTTAAATTTTCTTTTGTTAATTGTTCAAAGCTTTTATCATTATTAACATACTCATGCTCATTGTAAAATGGTAAATTATTCAAAATAGCTGTTTCATCACTTCCTATAAAATTAATATCAATATTTAACATATTTGAAATATTTTCTAAATGTTCAACTACTGTATCCTCTAACTTATGCAACTTTTTAGTCTCATCGTCTTTATTTTGCTCAAAAGAATCCATAAATTGTTCTATCATTTCTTCTCGTTTACGGAGCTCTTTATATTTAATTTGTTTTTCAGATTGATTATCTTCTATATCTGTTTCCAATTGTTCAAGTTTTTGTTCTGTTTCTTGCATTTGTTTCTTCTTCTCAATCAACTGAGCTTCTGCAGCAGCAATATCCATATTGTCTTGCTTAATTTTTTGTAATAATTTTTCCTTTTCTTCTTCTGGTGAAACCCTGTGTTTCTCTTCTTCTCTCAACTTATCCCTTTTTTCTTCTGTTTCTATTATTTTAAGATATAATTTAACTGCTTCTTGTTTTAGAGGTGATAAGGTTATTTCTTCTTCCAAGTAAACTTGTTCTTTATATAATTCATCTAATGCTTGTTGCATTTCAATTGCTTTTTCTTGCACTTTTATTTTTTCTTTTGATAATTCATCATATTTTTCCTTCATATTAGAGTCCATGCTTTCTATAAGCCGTTCTGTTCTTCTTTTTTTATTTTCCAATTGTTTTTCTATTTTATATAACGTTTGCTCTAATTTTTTCCTTTCTTCGAACATATTTTCAATTTTTAGTGAATTTTGTTCGTTTTTTGTAGCAAGTTCCTCCGTTTCTTGTTCTATATCTTCTTTTCCAATATCAGATGTCATTTTGTCCACAATGATGTTATAGTCAGCTAATTGTCCTTGCAAAGCTGTTAATTCTAAGGCTAAATCTTTAGCTCTCTTATCATAATGAATATATGTAGCTCTTTCTTTAGTTTGATCCTCAATATCTTTCATAATGACAGCAATTTCTTGATTTAGTTCTCTAATTTTTAGTTGCATAAGTCCAATATAATATCTTTTGTCTTGAATCTGCCTGAAAATAATTATTTTAAATTACAAAGAACACAAGCAAGTATTTGATACTTCTATTAATTTTATCACAATATCAGAAATATCGTAATTAATGTTTTTAGTTATTTAGACTACAAGAAAAAGAATTTACATACCTGCTCATTGGCATTCCTCTACCTGTTCCGGGTCTGATACCTGCTACTCCATGTTGCGTTATTGGCCTTTCCATGACATTTATATTCATTTGAGCTGGCAATGGAAATCCTGCATTAAATGCTCCAGAACTACTGGAGCTAATTGTACTCAATCGTGAATTAGCTGTAGATCCTTGATTAAGTAAAGCCAAGGATGTTGGTGGCCTTGCCAATACATTTTGACCAGGTGTTCCTGGTCGAGTAGCCCCAGAAGTAACATAAAACTCTCCTGATTCATTCTTCACACCTCTGTAAAATCTATCAAATTTGCTTTGTGACACAGCAATACTTGTCTGTGGCCTTTGCATCATAATGATTTATTTTAAATATTTCCTCACTTTATTAGATGCTAACACTTTATGTATTAAAGAGAATAACTTCTGTAAATGTCCAATTAACTAGTGTTTTATTGATACGCTTTATGATACTTTTGCTTTATACTTGGTTGTCATGGAAACTAATCCATAAAATCAATATGAGTATAAATTAATATATAAGATATAACTCATCAATAATTGCATGAAACGAAATATAATGTTTAACAATATCATAAAACTTCCTTATAAGCACAATATTAAACAAAATTTGTAAATATAATAGGTGCAGTTTTTTTTATCTAAACCAGAGGCAACAATAAATCAAATCACTGTTATAAAATTATATTTCTGTTAATTTGAAAAATTTCTATAGGCAATTAATTTAAGAATTAAATTATTGTAAAAAAAGAAAAAGTAATTAATTCTGCCGAAAGTCATAAATTTAACAATATTTCTTAATAAATTTTCAATCAATTAAAAGAAGAATAAAAATTTACTAATAATAAAAAACGAAAAAATTTGGAAAAATGCAGGAATAGTACAAATATTGTGATTCAAATATAAAAGAAAAATATTAAATAATTAAGAATTTAACTCGAGAAATCATGAAGTTCAATTTTTACAATTTTAAAAATGATTGATACTACTAATTTGAAAAATCGTATTGTTAGACTCACCAATGTTTTTGTAATTTATAACAGTAAGATGTCTAAACGATAAAAATGAAATTTTAGAATGCTATTTTTTAAGAAGGAATATACTAAATTAAATAATAACGAAATGTTGTTATATAATATAGAATTAAAATAAATATTTTAATATTTATTTCTAATCAATCTTAAAAAATCCACAACAATAACATTAAAAAAAAGTAAGGCAATATAAATTTAAAAAATTGAACATACAACTTTTTTACCGACACTGATATTATCTACCGTTGGAACAAGAGTATCGTAAAAATACAAATGATATCAAATACACGAATACTCGCTATTTAAATCTATATATTTATTACTTTCTTTGTAATATTATACGAATATTATATACATTCTTTTAATATTCTAATATTTATATAAAAAATAATTAGTCGCTTTACTGAATTATTTTTTAATCATTACTAGCAACGGATTCTTAATTTCTCAATGTAGTTATCGATTAAAAAATAAAATATCGGGAAGAAAATATAAAATTTTTAGCTCGGTAAAGAAACAGTAGATGGCAGCAGAGTGACGTTACCTTGGGGCAAGCAGTTGCTAAGCAACAAAAGTGACGCGGCGTGGTGGCCAAGTGGCGATGCACGACGGAGACGGCGACGGCGACGGTGACGGCGGTAGCGACGCCGGTCCCCCAAACTCGAATTAATATACGGGAGTCCAAGAATATCTTCAGTGTGCCTCGGGATAGCCAGAACAGAAACCAATCGGCGTTACTACAGTAACCCGCGGCGTAGCTACGTTCACCCGTGGCATCGCGATTCGTCCCGTCGACGTATAAACGGTCCGCCGCTCACTCGTTTCATACACGCTCGTTCGCATTGGCATTTCTTCTCGGCTTGCCTTTTCTTTTTTTTTTTCTTTCCTCCTCTTGCTCTTTGCTCAATAGGCCGGAGTCGTATGCATGGCTGGCACATGTACTCAGTGATAGCGCATCTAGTGCAGATCGTAGAAAGGTATCAACGCTGCCCGGTAAACCGGTTTCATCGCAACCAAGCGGTGACCTCCTCGTGCCTGAGAATGTTTTAAACTGTGACAAGTATTTTGTGCTCACGTTCATAGAAACTGTCGACTCGTGCGTGCGTGAACACGGAACAACAACACCGGTGCGTTTTCACGGAAATCGAGACGCTGTTGCTATTGCTTCGACATGGACGAAGAAGAAATCGACGGTGTGAAATCGCCCATCAAGAGGCTTGGCTCCACGCGGAAGCTGCTCGTCTTTAATAGTAAGTTTCAACTACGGACCTGTCATCTCTCTCTTTCTATGTCACCTTTTCCTTCTCTTTCTCTCATTTCTAACGTTTCCTACTCGTTCGCTCACTTATACATCTCCATCTTTCTTTCTCTCTTTTCTCTCATAGAGAAAGTAAATTTTTTCCAACTGCCATATTCGTTGTACATCGTAAACGAATTGTATCGCGTGATGCATAAACTTGAAGTTGCCGTTTGTTGCTACAGTAACGTTCATATCAGATCGTAGAATTCGTAATAATTTTACTCAATGTTTTTCTTTCAATCGGTAACGGTTTATCGTTAGAAATTGTTTGAAAATTCAACGTGTAAAATTATCGAACTTTATCTCTCGCGTTATACGCGGATTTAACATCGAATCAAAATATACGTTTGTCTCTATGCTTTGAAATTTATTCGCGGCGTGGTTCGAGTCGAAGGGTAATTTATTTCGATGAAACTCGTTCCAACGTCCATTGGGATGCGTGCATCTGCTCGATTGACTGAAAAGGGTTTAATACATGAAACATTTTTTCAACGCGTTCGACGTGTAGGAATGTGTAAAAAGCTTGGCGACTATATGGTCAGCAGATGTTAGAAAATCTCGTTATAATGTGCAGCCGACTTCGCATGTACTACGGCGCTAGCTTTCGAAGAATGACGCGACGTGTTGATGTTTTTATGTTAAGAACGCTGTTTATTTGTGCACCTTGCTTGCATGCACTGTTTTTCAGTCCCGTGACGTTCTGAAAAAATCATCTTGTCCACGTAAAGCATTGCTTGCTCCGTACAGAGTACAGCGTCTCGTATTACTCGATAAAAATGTTTATATCCGAAATCACGCATTGATTGCACAACATGATGCATTTTGATGTAACGATGATAAGTATTTTTTAAATAATACAAGAACTTTATTTTTTTTTTTTTATTATTTTAATTAAATTGTTATTTCTAATATACATAACCTCAAATGTTTTTTCGAGTATATGTATATACATCGTAAAAAGTGAAAAGAAAGTGTAGAAATAAATGAAAGGATTGAAAAGAAGGAAGATGAATTTCAAAGGAATTTCACGAGTAATATTATGATGCTGTAAATGCTGTTATCAAACTAAACACTGTACCGTGTAATTGAGTAGAGAGTATTACACCCTTTGTGGAATGCTAGTGCATTTGAAGGTTGCGTTAGACATTCCTAGTTATCGGCGTACTTGATTTACACTTGTATAGGTGATATGCTTCGGCTTCACACTTCGAACGTGTATATGTGTGTGTGTGTGTGTGTGTGTGCATAGGTTAGAAATTGTAATGGGAATCGAGTTTCATAAGAAAAAATTTATTATAAAATGTATAAAAATTTTGCCGGCATCTTTTTTCGATATTTTTTATTGCGGCATTAGATGAAATTTCAAAAATTCTTTTTTTTATAATAAATATTACAGTCGTTAGTTATTAATAATTTTACGTTGAGATCTTTTTATAGGTTATTTTAAACAGCGAAAGAAGGGAAAATCTTCGTTCCTCTTGATCAATGAACGATCGTGTAACACCTATCGTCATTCGATGGGGACAAATGAGGTGCTTGCACGTCTCTCGGTTGAAATGTTGGCGCGTCGCATTTGAAATTGCCTCGTCTGCATATTAAAGTCGTGGGAAGCAACAGGGATAGGTTTCACGGCATTCTATATTCCTGCAAAAACTCTCACATACTCGATACTGTTAAACGTATTTATCTTTTTATTATCCGCAATCTTGCCGGTGTATATTCCTTATTTATGCGATACAACAGTTTAATAATGCAATTCGTATGTTCTTGTTAAACCAGGAAATAATTGAAATTACGTAAGATTAATTACAATTAATTTAATCAACCATAGAAATAACATACCCACGATGTCAGAAATCCCTGTCTGACTTAATATCACAAAAAAAAGAATTTTTTGAAAATTTAAAAAATTTTCAAAATTTATTTCGTTCCTTTCATCATCAATGTACCATAAAACGTGTGGTGCCTTCATATAAGCCTATTCAATCGGAAGTTCTCAGAAGAACGTACATCGGATGCCCATCCCTGTTTCCGTTTACAAACTTTCAAGGTTGTTTTTATTTTATTTTAACACGCGTTCTGCCCCCATCCCCCTCCGCTTTCCTTCTACTCCCTCCCTTACTGAATACATGCACACGCGCACGAATTCAGGCGCAATGTGGTAGTGCATCTGTATATCCCTCCAATCCCTGAGGCGCATGCGCACATTCCCGTTGTTCGTTGCGACTCCCTCCACACAGTCGTGCGTGACTGCGTCGACCGTTTCCTCTATGCATTCTGATTTTTGTGTTTATACCCGCACGGTTGCAACATTGTCTGTTTTAATATCGATTTTAGTAAACCGCCGCTACGTGCAGCTTGCCACGCCGGTAAACGCGTCGATTGACAGCATGTTTGCAGATTCTGTTCGTTTGCTCGATGTTTTAAGTTTACGCGAACCATATGTATGCATGAAAAGGTTTATTGAATAATGCAACGTTCGATACGTACTATTTTGACGCACTGCTAATTGTATACGATATATGGAATTGCGCATACGTAAATAAATGTAACGAAAAACGTAGTAATTACAAAGAAATTGTTGTAAAATCTATTTAGCGGTATTTTTTCATAAAAATATTTTTGGGGTTGGATTGAAGAGAATAAGTCGACGAATATCAAACGAAGTATGGAATATTGAGAAAATCTCGTAGAGTACGGAATATAAATGTTATGTATCAAAATAAAATAAAATTTAACTTTATTCATATTTATTTAATTTTTTACTGTGGCTAAATCGTTTTTGTATCGAATTTCTTAAATTCTTTTAGAAAAATATGTTTAGCATTAGTTTAAATATAAAAGTCAAATTACGTATCGAGCATATTGCAATTTAATTTCATATTAGCCAAATCGAAAGGTAAAATTTAAAATAGATTTTTAAACGTACAAATAAATATTTTGATTAGCGTAATTAAAAATGTTCGAAGTATTCAAAGATATTCATTAACAGATTTAAGTTGATCAAAGGCCGTTTTTCAAACAGGAAT